TTGAAACTAGAATCAAACAAAACAACGTCTGAAAAATGAAAAGTCAAATCAAATAAAGTTCATGTGATGAAGTTTCAGGGAGTTTTGTAGTTTTTATTGTTTTGACTCTGATTCGTTTAAACCAGTTTTCTGAGCTTTAATTTTCTACTTGTGATGTTTTTAAAAATCCTTTTATTCTCCAGTCGGTCACATTTAAAGAAAAGTTCACAGATGAAGAACCAGTGAAAAGAAAACTGAGCACATCTGGAGTTTTAAAGTTAAAATAAAATAAATACATTTTTCATCCTTAAAAACAGAAAAAGGAAAAAGACAGATCATGAATCTTTGTCCTCATAATAATAATATCATTTTGAGATGCAGAACCCCCCCCCCAACCTCCAGGGGACCCCTGTGTTCAAACCTGAGCTCAGACTGCCCCCTGGTGTCTGACTGAGGAACAGCAGAGCTGCAGCTCAGTTCTGTTCCTGTTGAGATGAACGATCTTTAATCCTGTGATGAATGAAAATGAAATGTTGTCATGATTATTATTATCGTTGGTTTCTCACTTACATGTGCAGCTGCCTGTTTAACTTTTTATTATCTATCATCACTTATTTTATTCCATTATTCTCTAATCGTTTTCTAAATCAGGTTCATGAAAGTCATCTTTACATGATCAGATTAAATTAGAAATAATCTGAAATCTGAAATGAATCACCAAACTTCACAAAACATCATTAAAGATAATTTACAGTTCTGTAAAATTAAAACTGAGGTTTCCAATGAGAGGAAAACTGTAATGCAGGAGTTAGACCAATAGGAGGCACTGTTGCATTATAAATAAACAGAAACCGTCCAACAGAAAGTCACTGAGTGTTTTCAGTGAGTCATCTCACTTCTTAAATCATGTCCCTGTCCACAGACGACCTCTGGGGACGGATGTGATCGTCCTCCATGGTCTCTCTCGTCTTCACTAAAAGGACGTTGGACCAGCAGATACTTCAGAACGTCCAGGTTTGACCGACTCACTCACACGAGACACTGAAATGTCCCAAACGTCCAGTGAAGCTGAGATGAACTGTGGGATTTGAATTGAACATCTCAGCTTCAGAAAATCTGGATAAACAGTTTCCTGTCGTGGATCATTGTTTCCAGGTCTTAGCCACAGCCGCACATACAAGATACACACGACAACCACGAGAGACAGAAACTAGTTTAAACACTTTGGATGAATTTCACCAAACAGAATAAGAACTTCCAGCAAATATTAACTCATTTCCTCAGATTCATTTTAATTCACTTCTTCCAAAGAAACTTTTTTTAAACATCATCTTTTCATTCTGATTTTTTTTAATTTCACAAAATGCAAATTTCTAAAGTAAAACTAAATTAGAATCATAAAATGAATCATTAATGAAAACATTTGATTTGAAATCCAAAATGTTTAATTAACAGTTAATCAGATATTTCTTCCTTTAAAGGAGTCGAGTGGTTTGTTTTTATTTTAAAAGACGTGGCAGAAATTAATTCTCTCTGTTCGTCTCCTGTTAAAATAGGAATAAAACCGTCAGCCAATGAGAAACGAGTACGATGACCGAGCCCCCGGCGTCATTTACAGAACGC